TAGATTAATTCTATAGTGTCTTCTTTCATCTCTCATTCTCATTCATTTGCAAGAGTTCTTTATACATTCTGAATATAAGATTTTTGTTGATTACAAATATTATGAAATGTTCTCCCACTCTTTTCATTTGTTTGATGAATGAAAGTTAATTTTAAGGTACTTTAAAATAGCAATCTTTTATGATTAGTATTGTGTGTATGCTGTTTAAGAAATCTATCACTATACTCAAAGTCATGAAGATATTCTATATTATAGTTTCAAAAAGATTTAATATTCAGCTGGAATTAAATTTAGGCTTATATTATCTTCCCAGAGAGAGATTTTATGTTGTTTTTAGCAAGTGGTTAGGGCTCTAACAATCTGGGATCATCTTAATCCAATTTTAGAAATTCAAGATTATTTCAAATTCGGTTACAGTCCCTGCAAGGGTTTATTTCTGGTTTGCCACTACTCCCAGAGTGTAGCTGTTTTACTATAAAAAAGAAAAGAAAAAACATGCCCCCCCCCCACCGTGGCGTAGGGGTTAGAGACAGTGCTAACAAGCTATTTTGCCAGCCACTGCAGCACAAGTTCGATACCCGGCCAGGGAGGTGACTCACATGTGCAGCAGACCTCTCCTAGATCACCTGCTACTCCCCTCAGCAGTGTATTTCAGTCAATCTGCCTGTTCTGTTCCCCACTCTGTTTCTGGTGAATCCTCTCACCTCCTGCATCTCTGGCCTGTATCCCAGTCTTGTATGCATCAATAAATCAATCTTTAAAAAAAAATAAAGAACAAAAGTAATACTGAATGAAAAGGTTCTTAACTCAAAGTATGTGGTTTCTACCACTCTCACTTTTTTATTATACCACAGCCCCCAATATTTTGAAGGTGCACAGGGGGTTAAATTAAATATACTATTATTCAGAGAAGCATTAAATTTGTTTCTTATAAGACCCATTTAGAACTATTGTCTTGAGAACACTCTAGTCCATTCCAACATGTTCAGTTTAATCTTGGAATCTTTATATCAGTAATGCAACCCAATTGCATTCTTAAGGCTTAGTCACCTTATCTTAACTACAGAAGTGACATAACAACCAAGGAAATCCTGGTTTTTCACAGGTTTTTATTCCTCTTTGCTTCAATTTTAATCTCACAGATTATTTTTTGTGTTTTTTTATTCATGTGTTTTTGTGTTTGGGAATTCTTAGAGATTTTCTTTTCTTCCTGAAAGTCCAGACTTTATGCAGAATCTTCTTATCATAAGGTGAAAAGTCCAGTAGCAAAGTCCTGCTTTCCAAGTTAACATTTTGTGAACTATTTGAAGAAGATAACATTCTCAGAATACTTACCAGATTGAAACCAAGTTTGAGCTTAGAACTCTTATGGCAAGGAGCGGGGGGTGGGGTGGGGTGCAAAATATGAACAAAAACATACACTTTCACTAATAACATATACTTGTTTTTTAAAAACTTTATAACAAATAAAATCATTAATTTTTCTTCTTTTTTCATTATGTTCTAGCTGCTTTATAGATGACTAATAAGTCTCAGATGAGTCAATGATATAAAAACTTAGTTTCACAAGGGAATCATTAGGTAATCAAGACAGCCACTTAGCTACACCTCAAATTATGGCTGTAAAATAAAGATTTACACAATAGTAGTCATCCCAATTCTCTTATTCACAAGCGTTAGAACTGCCTCTACTCCTTACTAGCTGACTCAACATGAATGGGAGTTTTCAGTAGGTGTTGAGTGAATGTGAAAGCAGTGGATCTAGACTCAATTCTATAGAACAAATTACAGGTTTTTTAAAGTTACAATGAAACATTTTTGTTCCTTCTTAAGATTAAGCTATATCCAGAGAGTAGGAGTATGTAAGAAAAATAGTAGGACCTATTCCAGTACCATGGCAGCCCGGGCAGTCCAAAATGGCCTACTTCTGCTTATCATCCCTATTTTAATGAAAATAGTATTACTGTGTTAAAAATTACAGCTAAAAGGTGGCATAAGTTAGTGTTAAACTACAGACTCAGAGCAGGCTGACATTTAGGCTTAAATCCCAGCTCAAATATTTGCTAGCAATTTAACTTTGGGTGAGTTTCTTTACTTCCCTAGACTCTAATTCCTCAGTACTTGCCTCATAAGATTGTTATGAGGCTTTTAGACATAACAACTTGTTCCTAAAATGCAGTAAAGAATCAGGGGGTTTATCAAGTTATATTTTTCTTACCCAGGAAGAATGATTACACTGTGGGATAGTCCTCTGGCCAAGCGCCAATGGACTTTATGACTTAGGAGGAAACATAAGAAAAACATAACCTGGTGGCCAATTCACACTTTGTCTACACAGAGTACAGCCTGAACAGCCAACAGAAATAATGAGAAACAAGTGGAATGTCTAAGAATTTTTGTTTCTCGATCATCCATGATATTTTTAGTAACACTGCTGAGAATTGTTTTAAAATACAAAGTCGAATCCTAAAACTGATAGTGTTAAACCTGAAAGAATTATTGGTACTGTGGGAGGAAACAAACAAGGAATTTTTGAAAGGAGAGAGAATGGTTATTTTAAAAGGAAATTAAATGTTTGGGAGCTGGAGAACAGAGGCAACCTTTATTTACTATAAAAGCGGGCTCCATAATGCTAAGTGAAGTAAGTCAGAAGGAGAAAGAAAAATACCAGATGGTATCACTAATGTGTGGAATATAGAGTAACTAAACTAAGTGTCCAATAAAGTCAAGCTTAAAAACTAACCCTTGATAGCTGACTACAGAACTAAAGCACCAAGGGGGAAGGAGAAAAGGCAAGAGTAAGAACAAAAGGGAAAGGAAGCACAATGGACTGTGGACACATTATGGTGGGAATACTTGATGGGGATATCCAAATATTACCTCAATTAAAAATAAATAATCAAATAAATTTAATTTACAAAAAGAAGAATGTAAAAATATTTTTAAAATGAAAAATAAAAGTGAGCTTAAGGAAATTTCACTGAAATATTTAATATCTAAATTAATAAAAAGTTAAAGAAACCACTATGGAAAGCTGTGTGGAGGTTCCTCAAACTGCCAAAAATGGAGCTACCATACAACCCATCAATTCCACTCCTAGGAATCTACCTGAAGAACACAAAAACATTAATTCAAAAGGATACCTGCACCCCATGTTTATTGCACTTATGTTTATTGCATACCTATTTATAATATGTAAAATATGATAACAACACAAATGCCAAAAAATACATGACTGGATCAAGAAGATGTGTATATATACACAATGGAATAGTCTTCAGCACTCAAAAAAGATAAACTCATGCCATTCACAGTAACGTGGATGGAAATGGAAGGGATTATGCTCAATAAAATTATCCAGAAAGGAAAAAAAAAATAGGGCCTCCCTAGTGGCACAGGCGATTGAGCGCAGCGCTGTGAAGCTGTCCGCAGCCTCTGCAGTGCCGGTTCAATCCCCACTGCGGAAATACCCACATGGTGCGGCAGACCTCTCCTGTCTCGCCTGCTGCTCCCCTCACCAGTGCTTTTGGTCTGTCTGCCTGTTCTGCTCCCCACTCTGTCTCTGGTGAATCCTCTCACCCTCCGCACATCTGGTCTGTACCCCGGTTCTTATATAAAAATAAATAAATCTTTAAAAAAAAAGGAAAAGAAAAATATCAGATGGTTTCACTTATAGGAAGAATATAGGGGAACCAAATAAAGGATAGGAAAAAAATCAATAAATTAAAAACCAAAATAAACAGGCAACTATAAATCTGAGACACTCTGCAGGAGATGGGGAGGGAGAGGGATCAAAACAGGGGAGGGAAGAGCACAGGGACTATGATGATGGTGCGCGGGTGAATTGGTGGTGGGAATTTTATGGGGAATACACCTGAAAGGAGAAAGCAAACATTGTACAAAACGGAACAATGATGTAAAATATATATAAATAAATAAATTATAAAAAAAAGTTAAAGAGAGCATACTTATAATTTAAGAAAAAATACACACCAGCAATTCAGATTAGACAGCTAACAAATCATATTATATTTAAAAAGATCCATTTACCCCTCAGTTCATAATCACATTTAAAAGTTATTTATTTTTCATGTTTAATATACTTTAAAAACATTTTAAAGTAATGCTTAGTATGCATTTACTGAGCATTTAAGTACTAGGGAGTACAGTGCTGGCTCAGCAAATGACACAAAAAAAGTATAGGATATGGTTTTTGCCCTCAAGTAAAGTGATACATTGCAATATGCTTTTAAGTGATTGTACAAATTTGACTGATCATAGTGTCATACAAAACAAAGCACATACCAAGTATGTAAAAACTAGGAATTAAGAGACACACGAAAACATCAAAGTAAAGGACATGCCACATTGCTGCTCAGAAATTTAGGGTAGGGCCTCCCCGGTGGCGCAGCGGTTGAGCGCTGGGTTGCGAAGCTACCCGCGGCCTCTGCGGCGCCGGTTCGATCCCCGGCTGCTCCCCGGCCACCAGAGGAGGGTCCCACATGGCGCGCAGACCTCTCCTGCCGCCCGCTGCTCCCCTCAGCAGTGTACTTCGGTCCTTCTGCCTGCTCTGCTCCCCACTCTGGCTCTGGTGAATTCTCTCACCCTCCCGCGCTTCTGACTGTACCCAGTGCATGTATAAACCAAAACAAACAAACAAATAATAAATAAATAAATAAGACATGCCTCTAGAAAATTTAAAAAAAAAAAAAAAAAAAAAAAGAAATTTAGGGTAAATATCTTTCTGTATTTTTTCCAATCTACCTTAAGAAAAATAATAGAATACATGTGCTGATGTTGCTTAGTGTAAGGAACAGGCTCTGTGTCAAATTCTCTATCATATTTAATGCTCACAATAACCCTACAGGGTAGACATGCTTATTCCATTTTCTAAATAAGCGGTGGAGATTGGCTTGAGATCATAGAACTAGCAAGTGGCAGAGCTAAGTCTTGAACCACGGCGGTCTAAGCACAAACAGCACTTCCCCACTCACTGTACCAATTCACCAACCTCCAAGCACACTGCACCTTCCATCCACCTGAGAGCCCACCTCAGGCACTGTCAGGCTTTCCTGTGTATTCTTACTTCACTCTCTTCCACTGCAACATGAGCCCATTGTCTTCATTTACACATTGTCTCAACATTATGCTAAGTGGAATAAATCAGAGAAGGAGAATTACTGTCGCATATCATATGGAATCTAAAATAGCAAACCTCTAGAAACAGAGTAAAATGGTGTTTGCCAATGACTGGGGGTGGGGGGGGATATGGAGGTGTAGGTCAAAGGGTATCATTTCTCAATTAGAAGATGAATAAGTTCTTAGGATTTCAGGTACAGCATGACAACAATAGTTAACAATACTGTATTGTATACTCAAACATTGGAGAGTAATGCTTTAACGTTCTCACCATAATGACAACAAAATTGTAATTATGTGAGGTGAAGAATGTGTTAATTAAACTTACTGTGATAAAAATTTCCCAATATATACATATATTAATTCAGCATTTTGGACCCCTTAGACTTAAACAATGTTCAATGTCAATCACATCTCAAGAAACTGGAAAAATAAAAATAAAATTTAAAAATTTTAATTTCTTTGAAAACTTTAGGCTCCTATATTGCAAGAATTGTGTTTTATCTGAGTATCCTCATCTGTATTAATGCATAATTTAAACAAGCAATACATTTTAATTCATTTCTAACAACATGCTAAGCGCTAGGAATATACTTGAGAGTCTAAAGTATCTGGAGCTGCTGTTATTACTATGGTGAATTTATTTAAGATATCAAAATACACATATTGAACTCCAACTATATATGGCATTGATTCTGTATATTCTGTGACATACATAAGAAGTCTAGGACATACTCCCTACTCTCAACAAGTTTATAGTTCAGCTGCATAGAGAGATAAAACTAATACATGAAAAGGTAAATAATTAAAGAGTTATATTTCTATCCAGGAGGATAAAACAGTGTTATGTGATGACTAGTTTGCTATAGATAAAAGAACTTCTGTAGTAAAAAGTGTTGCAGTGTAGATTTTATATATATTCAAGCAGATTTTTTTTAATCTTGATTTTTTGTAATCTTTGTTATGGCAATGTTCACTGTGAATTCCCAAGCATTTGATACTTTGCCATGTTTTCCAAACTTGTTCATAAATGGAACACTTGTTTCATGTGACTACATAGCTTCTGTGTTTAAAAAAATGAAAAAGAAAAAGCGCTGTCTATTGTGGAAACCCTTTTAAAGAACTTATCAGGCAAATGTCATTAATTACATAACATGCAAGGCACAACCGCTATATGCTGACTTCATGGACCACATTGGTTGTGGGTGCTTCTATTTAAAGAGCTGGGACATGGTCTCACAATTCTCAACTAAGTCCTATCTAGACACCCCCAACTGATTAAGAATATGTAGTGAAATATTTTGGTCATCTTTAGAATTAATCATAGGAGTTAAAGGAAGAAGAAACAACTGTGATCTGGAATAAAGCAGCTTCAAGGAGGAGATAAATATTGAACTGAGCTTTGAAATGTGAATGAAAAATTCCTTCATGCCAAAGTGACAAAACTTTTTTTTACTTAGATGAAAGTATTTGCTTACTCCAGTCTTTCCTGCAGTATTCTGGGGAAAAGAAGGTTAAGGGACAAAAATGGAAATACATACACTATCAGCTATTATTAGGCTGAAAGTAGTCACTAAATATAGTCTCATTCATACATAAAGGACTCATAAGAACTACTAAATAAACACTGCTGATGTGACCAAATCTCTTCATGTAGAACTTTCCAGCATGGGTACTGGGAGGATAATCTAATGGTCACATGGTAAGGGGTGGTACAATGTTCTCCACCCCCTTGACAGAGTCAAGAGCAGGTGAAGTTACAATATATAACATGGAAGGCATTTGGGCTCAGGGAAAGAAGAGAGGGGAGAGCTCTTGCTTCTGTACCCAGACATGCATCCTGGTATTGCTGAGAAGGAGGCATGGAAAGAGACATGCAGAGACTGAGAAACACATGCAGAGGCTGACGATAGGAAAGAGCTATCTCGATGTGGTATCTCCTTTCATCCCAGCTTTCTGGAAGCTACTTCAGAACCCTTTTCTCGTGGTTCCCCATGAGAAGATGCCTTAGCCTTGTGGCAGGCTTGCAGCCCTCACTGTCCCCGTTTCAGGCCAACCCTGTTTGACTGGGCATTTGCCCACAAGGGGATGGGTAATTTCAGGTGTTTTATTGGGGGAACTAATATTCTTTCTTCTCGCCTCTCTCTATGCACCCTAATTATATTAGTTATTCACACTAAGAGTATGCTTGGCTTTTGTGAACATGCATGGCTGGATCCCTTTAGTTTGGGGGTCCCTGGGTACACCTTAGTTGCATGGTAACAAAATGTTTAATTTCTCCACCTTTTATTCTTAGCTGCATAAAAGACAGAAATCAGATCCATGGAACATCAGATCCTGATTCCCTGCCAAGCTATTTCCCCAAAGTTTTTCACAACCTTCTCATCGTTTTCCAGCTGCGGCCCAACTTGCTACAGTCAAACACTGAGAGGGGAAGTCAGTGAGAGTTTTTATGTCACTAAAACTGTTTTTTTGGTGCTCTTCAACCCATAATCAACTAAGATGCCTATATAGCGTCCCTGCCCTGCAATTCTTTCTGAGCTGAAGTCTCTCTGCTTTGCAAGAAATAGGAAGACTAGCCCTCTCCCTACTACGTGTCAGTGCTTCTCACTTTAGACCCAAGGCAAAATTATCTCTATGTGTATGTCCCATGTTTACCTGAGTTACTGATGAACTTACTGATATTCCCTTCAGCTTCCGTGTAGACTCTTTTTTGGCAAATGATTTTCCATGGGTCTCTCACATTTCTGCATGGCTTATAAGCAGAGACACTGCTGCCTTTGTTCTGGATTATCTTTTTAAGGATGTTTCCACAGCCTAAAACCTTGAAAGATAGAATGTCTCCCTCTGGCTCAAAGGGCAGATTTGTTTACTATTGTCTGAGCCCAAACTCAGGAAGGCTCGCTCTCTGGCCATTTGAAAGATTTGAGCTCCCTAAATCTGAAGTTTTCTCACCTGTAACATACTCCATTGCACATGCAGTCACTGCCTAGCCCTCATTGCATTACCTGTGGGAACATGTAACATGCCAGTGACTGCATCAGTAATAAAGTCCTTTGTTCTGACCTGAGAGGGTCATGTCTTCTGCTAGCACACATGACATTGCTGAACTAACTTGTTAGCTTGCAAATAGGATAAAACCTGGGCCCTACGCAGTGGCTGATACATCCCTCACTCAGGATTCAGACATATGTCCTTGGATAACAACCCCCACCTAATATAGACACTGTGCTGTCATGAGCATTTCTCATCTCTTCCATCAAGAAAGAACAAATTTCACCTTCAAAGAGTTTAGTCCACTAATGGTTTCTAGCTACAGTAAGCTCAGTTTTCAGAGACCATGTTATTCCTGAGCGACCCCACACAAAGTCTGAGGAGGGTGTTAGTAGGGTCAGGACATTTCTGCTCAGTAAAGGGCTCAATCTCATGGACATTCTTTGCTCCAGAGTTCAGGGCTGGTTTTGCTGAGGATTAGTCATATCTGTAGGCTTTCCTTGCTCAATAAAATTCCTCTCACCTTCATCTTCACAGATGTTTCCCCAATCAACTCATGCTCCCAAATCTATATCATGTCTTCGTCCTAGAGAATGTAATCAATATGGCTGTATCCAGTTACAGACATCCAAAAAATCATTCTCCTTCCTCTGAGAAGACCCTATGTAAATAAATTCTTATATATTAACATCTCATGTGAATATCCAGGTTTACCCAACAGGCCAGGCATTTGAAATCCCAGCTTAGGTTCAAGTTAGAATTTCTACAGAATGAAAACTGCTCAACACAGCTTTATGTATTTTAAAAGATTATGTTAGGACATAAGTTTGTGAACTATTCATTTTCATTGAAAAATTAGCATGTAAAATGCATTTCTGTAAGAATAGAAAGTTAGTCTTAAATTTAGGTTATCATAAATAATATTCACTGAATTTTAATAAATCTAAATGTCATTAATTATAAGCATACCACTATTTTAAATATTCAGACAAAGCATCACCAATTAATCTATGGCACAGTGCTGAAATACCATCTATTATAAGATAAATTCCAATCTCAGACATACTGTGAAAGAAAATGTGCATCTTTCATCCAATGAAATACAAAATTATATGACCTTGGAAATTTCTTGAGCTCAGATTATTTATGTTTATGTTTAATATCTAAAGGAGACCTTAATAAAGACTCATCAATGCCTGAATTTTGCATGACATGTGATATGGAATCATCACTACAAGTTCTATCCTAAAGTCTATCTATCAGAATTTATAATAAAATATTGAATATATCACTTCTTTCATTTCTTAGTTCCTTAGCAATAAAATTAAGATATTTAATTTTACAGATTTGACCTGCAATAACTCTTACAAAACACTTGCCATGCTCCCCTAGATCACAAGGGATCAGTCCCCCACATCATCTCAGTCACTTTCATTGGAGCCCTGGGTAGATGCCATTCCTTTTGGCTCAAGAAATAAGACACAAAGACTTATATAAATATTTACAGAATTCTAGTGGCATACACTAAGTGCCGTGAAAGGCATGATGAAGAACAAATCAAATAGGGACCTTGACTTCACCATGCCTAGAAGATTCTTCTTACTTTGATTTATCCAGAACTCACTCTTTGTCTAAGGTTCTCACTGAGCCATTCCCAAACCACTGCATTCCACAGGCCTCACCCTCCTTTGAACCTTAAGTACTCAATTGCCTACACTTATTCTAGGTTCTTGAATCAAGCCACCTGAGCATTCTGGACACCTCCAGGCAAAATACCCATAAACAGATACTGGAGCCTGAATGATCCTTCTTCAACTGTCAGGAATTTTAAACCGGGGTATAATTTCCAGTGTCTATAAATGCCTTTGGGGCTGGGGAGTTGGAGGTGGGGACATGAGGGAGGTCTGTGAATTACTTGAAATTGCATGTAAAACTGTATGCATATGCTGTCTCCTGAGGAAGGAAGCAAAATTTTCATAGCATTCTCAAAGGAATACTGAAGCCAAAATAGTTAAAATATGTTTTACTAGGTTCGAAGCAATGAGGTCACTTTTTCGAACATTAACAATGAGCCTGACATCCATTTTACTTCAGCCTTAATTTCTAACAACAAAGAATGCAATTTCCTGAAATATGTTCTTTTATCTTTGTAAGTGCCATTAAAAAATTTAAATGCAATGTCCAGTGGAAATTACGACAAAGATTTTTGCCTATTTTTAGATGTAAGTGTCCTAGGACTTAAGCCAAGTTGCTATCATTTTACACTATATGGTAGGAGAGAAACCTGGGCACCTAAATAGAAAGACTGGTAACTAATTCTTACAAGTTACAGTGAGAATCATAGCCCTTAATACCTAAAATTGAAGCTGAAAATTATAGAAATATGTGTCCAATAAATCTGCTATTTCTCTCCATTTCCATCATTTACTTACATTAAACTATGACCACCAGAAAGAGACCTCAAATTTCTAGAAAGGCATGAACAAAAATGAAATCTTCAATCTTAGAAACATTCCTAAATATCTTTTATACTTCAGTCGGCTTTTGGCATACCAAAAACAGCTGCAGCAGCAATACACATTTGGGAGATGAGAGGGAAGGAGGCTTCAACAAATATTTAGAGCAATGAATATAGATTTTTCCCCTCTTTGATCATAGTTGCAAAAGCCTAGGCAGAGATGGAAAAGAAAAAAATAAAAGATTACTTTTCAGTTTTATGGTTTTCTTTTGGGCATTTTCTCTTTTGCATATAATTAGAGCATGTAAGGAGAAACAAGGTCTTTGTAATCCACACCCATATAGAAGAAAAGATGCATGTAGCTTTAAATAAAAAAGACCAAGTGATTCTAAAATGAAATCCCTTATGAAAAAACACTGAAGAAATGGTGCATAGTAATGCTCTGTGGGGTTGTATTTTTTTTAATGAGATGTTAGATAAATTTAAAAATTAGACATAATAAACATATTCATGTTAACCATTACGAAACTCCTTCAGTATATCAGCTTATGGTAAAATAGCTGCTCTTGTACAGATGACGTAGAATGGAAAGTAATATGCCCAAAATAGAGAGCAGACTAATGAGAGATGCAAAAATAGAGCAGAGAAATAAATACACATTTACTTCCCAGAGACACCAGTGCAAATTCCCTCAGAAACATAAAATGCCTTTGCAATAAATGTTCTTCAGTGAAGACTTTTCAGAAAAGCCCGTGCAATCTTTCACATTATATTTTAATCTCTAAAATATTAAACTAAGAAATAAGATGGCTTCTTGAACTTTGCAGTCCAAAGTACTGTTAAAAAGGAAAAAATCAACAGATCCAAAATGGAGGCATTTCTGCTAAACCCAAGACTAAATACCTAACCTAATGTGGTTTTCCAAGCCTCCCCTGGAATGTCATCTTAGTTGGTCAGTATGGAATTTTCTGGTCAGCACCAATGAGGTCATCTTTTCCATTACCCAAAGGAAAATGAGATAATCGGTCACAAATTCCTTTTCTATTCCCCATAGGTAGGTCACCTAAGCCTGAAACAATTCCCTCTTCCTTTATCTTGCCCTCTTTCTGCCTGTAAAAACTTTCATTTGTACAGCTTTCTACTTTAGATGGGATGCTGGGTGATTCATGAATCATTTAATAAAACCAATTAGATTTTTCAAATTAACTGTATTGGATTTTTGTTTTTTAACAGTACTATAAAGCATTATTACAACCGAATACCAAACACTAAAGCAGAGTTTTTCTTAAAGTTAAGGTGATATTAACATACCCAGACAACACTGAAAACTATAAAGAATCCCTAATTAGAAATGGAAAAATTAACATTCTTCTTCTTTCACACTTTATGATTTCTGGATTTGTTTACATTTTAAATCCTCATTTCCAATGTGATCATTAGGCATTCTGTATCTTTAATTTTCAGTGCTCCTTAAATGAAGTGCAGCGCAATCCAGAAAGAAGACAGAAAGTAAATCCTGGTCTGCGCCTGTCATATAATGGTTTCCCTAAAGATCTGCGAGATGATATAAATTCAGTGAAACAGAGGTGTTTAAGTAGACCAATTCACTGAATTTATTCACCAGTTCCATTAAAGGAAGGAGGTGAATGATTAAGCAAAAACACTTCTTTCTCTTTTTTCCAGTCATTTATTTTTATGGCTACATGAACTGTGCACATCAGTACTTGTAAAGCACTGTAAAGAGTGTGTCAATCATAAGTTAAAGGGAGCAGAGACTTAATGGTAATATAAGAGAAGGGGAACCAAGAGGTGAAGTTGAGAATTACAGAAACCAAGCAACCTTATGTAATATATTACCAGGGAGAGTCAAGCATAACAGAAAGAAGTGGAGGAAGATGACAGGGAGGAGAGATTACATAAAATACTAATGTGCCTCCAGGGTCCTAGAACTAAATGGTGAAGGGTTTGTCTAGATAAGCTAGAGAGAGTTCTTTATAAATTTGGAGTTCAGAGAATAAGATGACATGAATAAAAAGATAAGTGCTGGGTATCCAAATTGATGACAAATGCACTTGCAGGCATTCCCTCGGGGGGTTGGAGAATACACTGATTACCTGAGGTTCCCTGGAGGTATGAAAGTTTAATATATGGCACAGTGGGTAAGTATGCTGGGTATCTTAGTTCCTCTAATATCTGCACCATCAACACCTGTCCTGTTACCATCATTTACGGGACTCTCTCTCACTTACCCATGCTTTAGCTGTTTTCAGGTTCATAATTACTTCCATCTCAATTTACCTCCCCTGACACTTACCTGCTTCAGGTCTTTGGGGAAGCAATTATTAAATCTGTATCCCAAAATTGCTAAATGATCCCTCAGGAGCTGAGAACAGTTATCACAGTTTCCCTTTATGAGGCAAGCAATCCATTCCCTAGTTACCCAGGCTCAGCGGAGAATGTATACTTGGGCAACTACCCACAAGTGCATTCATTCACTCATTCATTCATTCATTCATTGAATAAAAATGTGTTGAGTACCAACTATATGTTAGACTTTGTCACACTAGAGATGAAGAATTGAACAAGTTTTTCTCCTCAAAATTCTCACAGTCTAGAGGGGACATAAATAAGCTAACAGTAACAACAGCATATGTTGATCATTGCTGAGTGTCGTCAACCTGAAAAATACTCATGCTGTAAGATAATCTGGAAGGTGTTTATGAAAGAATAAGAATCATGATTCGTGCACACCACCAAGATGCAGTCTCCAGGGTTAGAGCATAGGGAGTTCTAAGGGATCAGGAAGGAATGGTCTGCGATTAGGTCATTAGTGACACTTTGGGATTGGTTCCCAAGCCCATTTGTCTGCCTGTGGTTGGTGGGCAGAAAGTTTTCAGACAGAATGCTGCAAAATGGAGGCCTTCTGCTACAGACAGTGGGGGATAATTTCTTGTCTTTCCATGGCCACTAAATGGCTGAGTCAGGATGTTAAACTTTCACCTAGAATTCTCACATGGCAGCTTAGAGAAAAAATGAAGTCTAATTCACTCAAAATAGTTTCTACAGTGTGAACCCAGAGCATGTCAGGAGCATTGCTAAGACTACATGGGGAATCAGAACAGTCAAGACAAGGAAAGTGGTATCTGGATGTCTCCCACTGGAGGGAGAAAAATCTGCAGGGGGTTCCAGACAGACAGCACACAATGTTAGTTATAAAGGAAAAGTAGATTATTGTTACCAAATATTAGCTAAAATTCTTATCTTTCCATCATTTCTTCAATGGTGCTAATCTTACTCCTTTAGCTTCCATATTCATGGGAATTTAAAGTAGCTGTATGAACATAATTGACACCACAGAAGTGGCCCTCTGTCTTGTTCCACACACCCCTCTAACATGCCCCATATGTCCCAGTGCCACCAAACTCTATCACTTCCTTCAGACAATAGTGTGACATCACTGCTTCACAGACTACCTGTCTTGGATAGAGTATGTCTTTGTTTTCCTTCCCACCTCTCTAGGTCCAGTGCAACAGCTCTGAGGTCTATCTCATTCTCTTCTCTTCCTCATGGCTGAGTTCCTTCATGCTGAGTTCCTTCGTAAATACATGGCTTGTGTGATACAAACTTTGAGCTCTCTGATTAGCACACTTTTATTCCCTCGGGTCAGCCATCCTTTTAGATTTGAAAGATTTCCTTTACGCCTGTTCCTTAATCTTTTCTCTTATTCTGTACACGGCAATTGATGTTCATATGAGAAAGCCTGAGTTTTTATAAAGCTGGCTTTCAAATTGGGGGGTGGGGTGGGGAGTAAAAGACTACAATAATTTTTCATGATCACAGTCACTATGGGTACATGAGTAATAGTAGATGACTATAAGTATATTATGAAGGTTATAAGTAATACCCAATTGGTAGCAGGATAGCCATAATTCTACCCCATTCTCTTTTACTCTAGAAAGTACATTTAAAAGAAAGTAAAATAGGGTGATTTTATATACCTAATAATTGATTTTATATACCTATCTGACATAATAAATAAAGAGTTAAACCATGCAGTTTGCAGTAACATGGATGGAGCTAGAAGGGATCATGCTCAGCGAAATAAGTCAGAAAGAAAAAGAAAAATACTGGATGGTCTCACTCATAGCAGGGATTTAGAAAACCTAAATAAGGGACCAGGAAAAAGACTAATTAATACAAAGTAAAAATCAAAGTCAACAAGCAACTATAAACCAGAGACAAAGTACGGGGCGGGGGGGGGGTGTGGGAGGAAGGGGCAGGGAGAGGAAGGACTAGAGTCAAAATAAGGGATGGTGCAATTGTATGGGGAATATAACCAAAATGAAAATGCATACATTGTGCAAAAATGAAAAAATGATGTAAGAATTATATAAAATAAAATATTTTTTTAAAATTTAAAAAAAGAGTTAAATACCAGCATTTATATATTAATAATATTATCTATTATTAGGTTCATCTCTCCAATGGTTATTCCATGCCTAACTCCATACGTGGTTGTACTAACTGTACTAGGAGACAGAATGCTATTTTGTCTGGCGTATTTGCTGCATTCTGGTGTTCTTCTAACCCAAATGCTTTATTTGATTAGTATATTGCACAGTGAGCGGCACATGCTTTATGCCTAAGTCATACAGATGGGAGAGAGAGGGAAGGAGGAAGGGATGGAAGGTGGGAGGGAGAGAATACAGAACTAAAGTGTCAAACTCTTAACCACTTCTTCCTTTTATTTGAAAAGGAGGTGAGAAGGAGGTGATCAAAGATGAGGAGGAAGAGGGTTTACAATATTGAGAACTTTAATCTTCAAAACCACTCTATGAAATACGTGCTGATTTGAATCCCATTTTACAGACTTGTGAGAGGTGTAGCTTGACTAAAAGCACAGCTAGTAAATGAGATGACCTTGAACTCTAACCTCTCTGGTTCCAAATACTCTTCCTGTAAAACTTCCACCTGGAGGACACCTTTCTTCTTCACTAAGAGTCTGCCACTAAGTTCAAGTCTCAGATGCATTTAATTTCCTGTTATTCATTCACTTTTTATCTGTTCTCACAAATTCACCCAAATCAATAGACTTTTGTCATCCCACTACAGCTTTTCATTGTCCAAGAAGCCCCAAATAGGCTGAGGCTTCTGTCACCAGCATTAATAAGAAATTAGGTTTATGTTTATTTCAATCCTACTACATTAATTTGTTTCATAAAAATAATCCATATACATAAATATTTTTGGTTGAAAATTTTATTTTTTTTAAGATTTATTTATTTATTTATACAAGCACTGGTACAGTCAGAAGTGCAGGAGGGTGAGAGAATTCACTAGAGCAGGGAGAAGAACAGGCAGAGTGACGAAGTACACTTCTGAGGGGAGCAGCGGGCGGCAGGAGAGGTCTGTGCGCCATGTGGGCCCCTCCCCGGTGGCCGGGGATCGAACCGGCGCTGCAGAGGCTGCGGGCAGCTTCGCAGCCCAGCAGCGCTCAACCGCTGCGCCACCTGGGAGGCCCTGGTTGAAAATTTTAAAGTCTATTTTTTATTATAGTTGTTATATTATTACTACTAACACCAATACAATAAGGCAATAATAGCTTCCAAATATTTGTTTTTATTTACTTAAGATAGCTCAACTTCTAAAGTCTTTACAAATTTCTGTTTCAAATAACTGATAAATAAAATAATCAACTAAACCTTTAGATTTTCTCATATTGCTAAACAAAGTGTTAATCAAAACCAGTCTTCAGTAAGTATATAGTATGATTTTTCTAAAAATTGAGATGTCAGTCTCTTTCTGGGTTGACAAGTGTTTGTTTTTATTGTAGTTATGTGTCAGTAAAGGTAAAATACATGGATTCTGGAATCAGAATATGATGATTTGAAATTTGACTCTGCCCATTTTTTAGCAGAAAGTAAAATTGACTTCTATGAAATTCAATTAAATAAGCTAATATTTAAATGAATATAAGTTTAACTGCATAATAAATATGCACCCAATAAGACCTAGCTGTTATTAACCCAGAGAGAGTAATTACTACAAGCAATTCCTATAATTTCATTGAGAACTCTTGTAAAGCAAGAATACTTAATCTACAAATTGCCTCCAAATGTAATGAAATTTTAATACTAAAGTTAACAATTAATGAAGATGATATAATAGTACATTTTGGAGATATTTAATTAAATATTTATTGTTTCAATCTTGTAGCTTTCTTTTAGTATTCTGAACCATTTATTTTTTTCCCAGCCTCAAATATTTCTATTTGCCCTTGCAAAGTTTATAGGCCCTAAGCAATGTGTCTGCAGTGCTTGATGGAGAGACTGGCCTTGGCCATGGTAAATAAAACAGCTTTGAATGCTACCTTCCCTGGCTCCAAATACCATTCCTGTGATAGCCTGTCTTGTGGAGAACAGTCTCCATTAGCAAGAGTTTGGGAGGTTTCTAGAAATTTTGGAAATGTTACCAAACAGGAATTCAAAGATAGAAAAGTAAAGCAAAAATCCAGATGTCAATGATGAGGCAAAATTCTTAAATTACTCTTGCCTAAGTTTAGAGTTTATACATAAACCTAGACCAAAACTGGCCCTGTAATAAGTCATAAATAGAAGAAAGAATGGCTGAAATGGGCACTGATCCAAGAAGGAATACCCTCTTTGATAGAGTAACTATAACTTGAGAAACAGCTGCTGTTATTGTAATAATTCCAAAACAGTCAATCTTATGGGACCAAAGAATAAAATTAAGTTTTTGCCACAATGTATAAAATGGATCAAATATCTACTAGTTCAAGGAGATTGGATTATAAGTACCATGATTTAGGAGATCCTACAAGAAGATACATGAAGAATGATGTTACTTTAATACTCTAAGGCAGTTCTTCTGATAATGTGTACAATGGACCATGAGGCCAAAAATATTTCAAATTAATACTAGAGCAGTATTGCCTTTTTCATTGTGCTGATATTTACATTTTGCAATTGCATTGCAAAAGCGATAGTGAGTAAAATTTTTGGTGCCTTAGCACAAACCCGGACAGTGACACTAAACTGTGCCAACAGTGGTGGTATTTGCACCTGCACTCAATCAGAGAAAAGAAGATAATACAATAAAAGAATAGTTTCACTCTAGAATAACTTTGATGAGGCAGCAAATATTTTTAATTTTATCAAGTCTCAATCCTGTATGCCTTTTAAATGTATGTGATATACTGGGAAGTATATAAAAAGCACTTCTGCTACTTACCAAAGAAAACAGGTTATTTTCAGGAAAAGTATTTACTTGAGTTACAAACTGAACTAGCCACTTGTTTTCATGTAATATCATTTTTACGTGAAATAGAAATTGGCAGCAAACTATTGTAGTCATATTTGAGCATTTGGCAAGATTTTTGAAAAATAAAATGGCTGTAGGCAGCCTGTCACTTTAAGGATAAAATTAGAATTCAAGATAAAATTAGAATTTTGGAATATTTTTATATGTCACTCTGACCTTGGCTTCTTCCCAATACTCAAAGACTTTCCTGGTGAGACTGGTGGTGATATAAATGAATATGATATTTTGATATTAAAAAAAATGAACTAACACTTGGAAGATATGAATAATTCAATGGGTCATTATTTTTCAAAGGGCCAAATCATGATTTTTCACATCCATTCAAAATGGAAGATAGATCAATGAATTATAAAGAAAAAATATATAAGTTTATGGATTTGGTCTAAGATTACAAATTTTAGATTGCAAGTAACTTTCATTTAAATGTCATTTGTCAGATTTTGGCAGAGTAACAGAAAATAAAACCCTCAGTTATCTAAAAAGATTATTAAAATATTTTCTTCTTTTTGTTTACACACCTCCCTGAGGTCATATCTTCATTATACTCTTCAACCAAAACAAAATATGAAAACAAATACAATGCTAAATCAGACATGAGAATCCATGTTTTCTCCACTAGTCCGAGTATTTAAAAATGTGCAAATACGCAAATAATGCCACACTTCTCATTTTTTCTTTTAAAAATTTTAATTATTATTCATAAAAAAGTTATTTATCTAGGGCCTCCCTGGTGGCGCAAGGGGTTAAGCACCGCTCTTTGAAGCAATCAGCAACCTCTGCAGCACAAGTTCGATCCCTAGCTAGGGAGATGACCCGCATGGCACAGCAGACCTCTCCTATCTTGCCCGCTGCTCCCCTCAGCAGTGTATTTCAGTCAATCTGCCTGTTCTCCACTCTGTCTCTGGTGGATCCTCTCACCCCCCGCATCTCTGGCCTGTGCCCCAATTCTTGTATGCATAAATAAATATTTATGCATATTTATTTATGCATAAATAAATCTTTTTAAAAAGTTATTTATCTTAACATATAATAGGTTTTTTATTTTAATAAATTAATATTGTAAGACTTGCTTAGTTTTATTTTCTCATATGGTATATTGATTAATATAATTCACATAAACAAAAATACTATGGTCCTCAATATTTTTTATGAGTGAAAAAAGAGTGCTGTGGAAAAAAATTGAGAATTGCTGTCTTTAAGTTTAACTATATTTGAAGCTGGTGGCCATTGTGACATCAGCATCAGATCAATGATCACATATGAAAAATTCCATGCAGTTGACCATTACTTCAGAGTTCTGTAGTTGGACTGCCTTTTAAGAAGTTAACCACCTAAGAGTGACTACTATTGCCTTTGATGTTCTCCATAGCGCATTTGATGATGTTACCAGGAAAGACATCCAACAAATAGTAAGAGAAAGACCATTTCATGCTGATACTGCTTCTTCCTTTGATTCTGGTCAGGTTTCCCAACACTTTACCTCTTGTTTCATTATGAAAAATGTACAAACTTCAAACCAAAAGGGTAAAAGCTGCTGCTGGGCAGATGTGGTCTTCAAATCTCTCCAAAATCAGAAAATCTGTTAAAAATGTTTACCATAAATGTAAGAACCAATACTCAGAGTCAACTCGACATCCATCTAAGACTTCCTATGATTGTGACCAAGAAGACATTAGTACTGATGAAGAAATGAACCTAACGGTCATGTTCCAAGATATCAAAACTGCCCAAATTGAACTCCTCAGTAAAATGACCAATATTGTCAATGAAGTATCAAAAATCCAGAAAAATGTTGATTTTTATCAGAAGCAGACCGAGGGAATGGAAACTAGAATGAATGCAAATGAAAACAAACAACACACAATAACTAAAAGTTTCTTCTCTATGAAAGAAAATATTGATGCTTTAAAGAAGAAGGTGATAGAATTGGAAAACCAGAGTTTTTGCTCTAGCATACATTGCTTGGAGATTCTGGAAAGAGAAAAGGGTAAAGAGATCATAGAACTTCTTCACCAACTCATCCAACCAGAAACTTCGAAGAAAACATCTACCTCTACAGCCTCTGAAATCCCTTCAAAAGAACCGAAGACAATACCCAGTGATCTCCAGCCTACTGGTCAATCTGGGGAAAAAAATTCTCCCAAAGTTAAAAATTTGAAGAAAAGTAACCAACAAAATGCATCAAGACGCTTAAAAAAGGCAAGTCCACATATTCATATTTACCCAGACTTTAGTACATGGATCAAGCTAACTTTTGTCCATGGAGAAAAGTGGGGATTTTTTCTTAGTCCTACAAAACTAGAGGAATTCCTTCAGTGGCTTCTTTCTAGGCCAACCATTCCTCCTGAGGAACCACAACTCATAACCCAGAAATATTATCCACTCACTGGACCTATTGCAGGCTTGACCACAATCTGTCTCTCTGTTTTCAACTACATTTACTGTCTTTTTGGTTCCTCAAAAGAGCAAGTAACTCGACTATAAACTTATTTTCTGCTTTGCTTGGCACAAAATAAAATTAACCTGGTTGCTCCAAGCAGTTACACATTTTTGTAGTTGTTGTGAATTCTTTCATAGTTTGCTCACTGTGGGTTCACTCTCTGCTAAGTTGCCATGTGTCTGCAGTAAGTGAAGGTATATCTTTCCATTGGATAATAGTGGTGTATTTTCTATCAATGTTCTTGTCTTCTCAAAGGTAATTCAGGAGGATTCATCTAGTGCCTATTTCATAAGTAACTGGAAGCAAAGAGTTGGGGGGGTCAAGGAAATATGAAATGCATTTGGTAGGTCCCCCATCAGTGTTCTCTGCATGCCTTTGTAGATAAGATTGTGATGCCAGAGACAGACTGCAGCTGCCTTTAAACAGCATTGAGTGAAAACTAACCCGGTATTGAAAGGACTAGTAATTACCAGAACATTCACTGCAAAAATGGGATTCTTCTTTCAAATTCAGTTTTACCTTTTTTTTTTAATAGAGGCATGTTTTATTTATTTATTTGTTTGTTTGTTTGGTTTTTTTGTTTATACATGCACTGGGTACAGTCAGAAGCGCGGGAGGGTGAGAGAATTCACCAGAGCCAGAGCAGGGAGCAGAGCAGGCAGAAGGACCGAAGTACACTGCTGAGGGGAGCAGCGGATGGCAGGGGAGGTCTGCGCGCCATGTGGGACCCTCTGCCAGTGGCCGGGGAGCAGCCGGGGATCGAACCGGCACCAGAGAGGCCGTGGGCAGCTTTGCAACCCAGCGCTCAACCGCTGCACCACCAGGGAGGCCCCAGTTTTACCTTTATTAAGCAATTGTGAAAGGGGAAAAACTGAAGGTGGTATAATTTTTACATCTTCATGAAAGAGATAAATGACATGTCCTTTTTGTAGTTTTGATAGGGGAAAAGGAAAATTTAGGGAGAGATGTATGAACCAAGTTACACCTCAACTTATTAATACCATCAATTCCTATATGGTAAGGTCTGGTTTTCCATATGAGCCACGTACCACATATCCAGAGTAGGCCACATAATAGAAGGTTGCCATTGTAATGCAATTTTTCTAAACATGATACAAAATAATTACAAAAAGAATATTTCCTTCACCACTTAACTCAGTAAATGAAATATGTCAATAGTCATATGCTGTTTAACAAATAATTTACAAATGCTCTTGGCAAATTATTCTGAGTTTTAAGTTATTTAAGTTATTCTGAGTTAATGATTTGAAAGGAGGACTCCAGCATTTTGATAAGAACAGCCCAGTTTCAAACCATGGCCAGCCATGCAGTATAATTTTTTTTCATTTACAAATGCATTTGATCACTTCACTTGATCCTTTTTAACAAGTATATAGATGCACAGCATGGATGGTACCATCATATGCCTACTTAAAACAGCACTAAATATTATGTGGGCTTGCTTTAAATGGGATAAATTATTGTTCTGATAAGCAATCTCTCTGCCTTTATTTATCATCACAGATATCCACAGAGAACAGCTAGAGTTCTAGTTTGACACATGGGCTGCTGCCCTCACAAAGGCAAATGACATCACAAATGGCATCTGGGAGAGTAAAAAGTGACTCAGCTGGTATTTGCTTGGGTCATCTGAGTTCTATATGAATGCTTGCTTTCATTATTCTCCTTTTACATGCCTTCTTACTCTTGTTTAATGCTTCTAGAGAAGCAAAGAGTTAGGGAAAGAGCATAAAGTCGTCAATTCTGAACAGTTTAAATTTCACACTTACTTTCTTCTCAACTAGCTTTGTTTTGTCAGCCATAAAAAAGGGAAACATATTAACTTAGAAAATGTTTCTTCAGTGTTTGCTAATAGCACCAGATCATTGTGGAAGATAAAAGTAAAAGTAGAAGACATTCCCTATGCTATAGACACATGACATCAAATGCGATAAAGTGTGTGCAAACTCTAATGCATGACAAACATGTTGGCAAGCAAAGAGTAATAGAAAAAGTCCTCTTGATATTAGAAAAGAAAGAGCTGATGCTCATAGCAGGAATCTAGAAAACCTAAATAAGGGACCAGGAAAAAGAATAACTATAAGAAAGAAAAAAATCAAAAAATCAAAATCAATAAACAACTATAAACCAGAGACACACTGTGGGGGGGGGCAGGGAAAGGAGAGATTGGGGACATGATAAGGGGGGTGCAATTGTATGGGGAATATAAAAATAATTTTTTTTAATAAATAAAATAAATTACTTTTTTTTTAAGATTTATTTATTTATACAAGCACTGGGTACAGTCAGAAGCGCAGGAGGGTGAGAGAATTCACCAGAGCCAGAGTGGAGAACAGAACAGGCAGACTGACAAAGAAATACACTGCTGAGGGGAGCAGCGGGAGTGGCAGGAGAGAACTTCCGCGTCATGTGGGACCCTCACCAACGGCCGGGGATCGAACCAGCCCTGCCAAGGCTGCGGGCAGCTTCGCAGCCCAGCACTCAACCCCTGTGCCACCAGGGGAGGCCCATAAAATTACTTTTGAAATTCAAAAAAAAAGAAATTTTCATTGAGGTTGCATTAAATGTAAATATTAATGTGAAGACAATCAATGTCCTTCAATACTCAAAAAAAAAAAAGAAAGAAAGAAAGAAAGAGTTGATGAACCTAACAGTAAGACAGTGAGGCCAGGAGAGAAGGAGTCAGGGGGGCAGTGTACCAGGTAGAAAGACAAACAGGCACTGGAGTGGAGCTGGAGAGGAACGTGGGAGATGGAAGTCACCAAGCATTTTATAAACGTAATGTGTAAGTACTGACAGGGTATTATTTCAACCCTTTTCTAGATCTCATTTTTCTCTTAAGGGATTCCCCACCATGTTCATTTTAACCTGTTGTGACTGCCACAAGAATGTTAGAGGAAGTTAAAATGAGAAGGACACATAATGTTCTCAGGGTCTCAAACTTTTCCATAAAGATGACTGTCCTGGTAATTTTGCTTTTGAGTCAGTTATTTATCAGCTTTAGACAAGATGACGCATTACTTGTTAAAATTGTGACTCAACTTGTACTACCTGTGAGCAAGTAATTTTCCCCCAGTCCATTCTTTCAAATGCACCTGCTCTCACCCAATTCAGCTGTGAGGTCCCTCCTGTCCACATCTGTCCTCCAGTGACTCACAAGCTCTCTCGTCCATCTTAGTCACCACCTCCCAGTTAATTCAATTCAGCTTAAAAATATGTGTTTGCTTGTCCCCCACCTCTCTTGCCAATTTCATATTTTCCTCTTTTAATGGGAGGCCCACCCTCCCTGTTCCCCTCTCCTCTCCCATTCTTCCCTGGTTCATGTGATCATGTCTTCCATGTTCTCTCTTCTGGCAGATACCCCTTGGTTTCTTAGATGGTTCCTCTGCCACTAAGTAAATACAGCAGAAGAATTGTGCCTTACCACAGTGGAACACTACAAAGGTAAAAAATGCAGGGTGGAAAGTGTCGTGTAAGTTCTGCTAAGGCATTTGGATTTTACTATCCTTGATATGAGGAGCAATAAAAAGATTTTAGAGCTATTTAAAAAGTTGCCCTTTCAGAAAAGGTTTATGGACATCTTGGATGTTGGGGTACCAAGCAGGAAAATTTTTAATTATTAAAGTGTATTATAAAGGCTTGAACCAAAACAGTGAACTGTTAAAATACAGATGCTTGAAATACAGATGCTGGGCCTCCCTGGTGGCGCAAGGTGTTGAGCGCAGCGCTGTGGAGTTGTCCACAACCTCTGCAGTGTGGGTTCGATCCTGGCCAGCTGGGGAGCTACCCACATGGCACATCAGACCTCTCCTGTCTCTCCCGCTGCTCCTCTCAGCAGTGTATTTCAGTCAGTCCACCTGTTCTGTTTCCCGTTCTGTCTCTGGTGAATCCTCTCACCCTCCCACACATCTGGCCTGTACCCCGGTTCTTGTATGCATAAATAAATAAATCTATTTTTAAAAAAAGTAAAATACAGATGCTTATCTTTGATGACTCCCAAATCAGAGACTGCTCCCATCCAGTCTCTGCTGGGACATCCTGATAATTCCTTTCCAAGCAACTACTTACCTTCTCCATTTGGATCTCTACTGCACACTCAAACTGGTTGTCCTTAAAATGAACTTTAATAGCTCCTTCTTCTTTTGCCTCAGACCCATTTCTCTTTCTATGTCCCTCACTGGTAATGGCCTTACAATGCAAGTTATCCATGTCCCCAAACTCATCTTCTCCCCCACTTATTTATCTCCTAAGTAGTCATCAAATCTTTCCCTGTTTATCTTTCCAACAATTCACAAAACCCACCCCTTTATCTCCCCACTTCACTTTTTTGGTTCAAGCCTTGATAATACACTTTAATAATTAAAAATTTTCCTGCTTGGTACCCCAACATCCAAGATGTCCATAAACCTTTTCTGAAAGGGTAACTTTTTAAATAGCTCTAAAATCTTTTTATTGCTCCTCATATCAAGGATAATAAAATCCAAATGCCTTAGCAGAACTTACACAACATTTTCCACCCTGCATTTTTTACCTTTGTAGTGTTCCACTGTGGTTAAGGCACAATGCTTCTGCTGTCAGACTGGCCTGATGTGAAAACTGGCTCTGTCACCTTTCTATGTGGCTTTGACATTAAGCCAAAGTTTAAATTCTCAAAGCCTTAGTGTCCTGTTTTCCTAAAATAAGAATAATAATCAGGGATTGTGGTCAGAAATAATGGGATTGTTATATGAAACTCTTAAAAGCATATTTTATATGCAGTAAATATGACATAAATGTCATTGATCATTACTTTCTCATCTTTGTCTTCCCATATAAAACTTCACATAAAAACCACCATCTACACACAGTATCTTACAGATTTTTTTTTTTTTTAAATCTTATGTCTTTATATACTTGCTGCTCCGACTCTCTTGAATGCTTTTCTTTTATCTGGATAATAAGCAATAATTTGAGTATCAGCTGAATCTCAACTCAAATACTTTCTAAGACACCTTCCTTGATTTTTCCACTTAAGCTGCACCGCGCTCGCTCCGAGCTCCGGGCTCCTGCTAAGCTAGCGACGCCGTCGAGCCGCCATCAT